AAACTTGAACGGTATGATTTCAGATCGGAATGAATTCCCCATGGTACAATAAATAAAATATAATTATGGATCCGTATGATATTTCAACAAAACACCACGTATACTTGACCTGTTATCACAGTAGTTGAGAGAACAATACGGCCAATATCCATCGCATTGACCTCAGTGCTAGTGTACGTGTTGCAGTTTGCATGTGTAGAACACCATATCCTTGTTGGTGGGTCTCACCGAAATGGTAAGAGTCTGCATCACTTCGGTCTCTCCTCAACACCGAACTGACTGCTTACAGGTCTTATATACATTGTAATTTGTACGCATACCTATTGTGTATTTAGTTACATTATCACAACATTTTAAATAACAATTCGTTTGAAATATAGTGCTGGTCATTAATAAGTTTAAACTATGTTTTAACTAAGTTTGGAAATAAATCGTTTACGTCACATGGTAATTCCAACACTATATATCTTCTCCCTGTAAATAGCCTTCATTGAGAATGAGGCCAGCGAATGCATACGTATACTCACACGCAAAAGAAACGCAAGTGGCTTTAAGCAAATAGGTAACAAACACGGAACCATAAATTGATACGAGTTTTAGCATGTAGTGAAGCCTGATGGTGTTATCAATATTTTCGGTAGCATTTTGGAAGCCCCGAGTAAAAACGCAACATAAAAAAACGAATCGCCAAAACGCACCATTTCAATGAATATGTGTGTATCATGCACCCATTTCTCGCGAAATCGAAAATGCACGAACTGTCACGAACTTACTGGGTATAAAACTGTGGCCGATTCTTGGACCTACCACTCCTTGGTCAACAATGCCACGCCTAACTCAAATTCAGAGAAACCAGGCTATCGGACGTTTGGAAGCTGGAGAGTCTGTCCAAGATGTTGTCCGTCATTTCAACGTTAACAAAACCACAATTTACCGTCTCCTGCATCGATACAATGCTACACAGACCACAGATGACCTTCCTCGGAGCAGTCGTCCTAAGGTCAACACACCTCGACAAGATCGGCAGATTACCCGTCAACGCCAGCGACATCCGTTCCTAACTGCAAGTGAAAGTGCTCGGCAGACCATAGGAACACATAATCGACACATTAGCCGGGACACTGTGATCCAAGGTCTCCGTTCCAACAAACGCAGGTGTCGCCGACCAGCACGTCGTCCTGTTCTCCAACCACGGCATCGAAAGCATGATTTCAGTGGTCACAGGGTCATCACAACTGGCGTCACTTTTGGGTCTCCCATGCAGGCGGAATAGTCTGAATTTGGCGGCGTCGAGTTGATCGTTTCGCTGACAGAAACGTTGTGGAAAGGGATCCATGGGGTGGATCGAGCGTCATGATATGGGCAGGGATTGGACTTAATGCGAGACTTGGACCCATGTGCTTTCTGAATGTTGGTCAAGGTCGGGGACACGGCGTCACTGCTCAGCGGCATATCGACATTTTCCAGCAAGACAACGTTCGTCACCATGTTGCCAGAGCTACCATGGCCTTTCTGCAACAACACAACATCCGTGTTCTACCGTGGCCAGCCCTCCGCCTTGATCTGAACCCCATCGAACACTTGTGGGATGAGGTTCAAAGGCGTCTGCACAATGTGCGCCCAGTCTCTACAACTGCCGATGAACTACGCACAGCTGCTCTGGATGTGTGCAGGAGGATCCCTAGGGTCTTCACAAATCGTCTGATCCACTTAATGTACAGGAGATGTGTTGCAGTGATCAATGCTAATGGTGGTCACACCAGGGATTGACTCACATTTTGGGTATTGACCCGAAACTGTGTAAGCCCTTATCATTTGAAAAAAACAATTATGTCATCTGCCTTTTAATCCATAAAACTGTCTCCAGTCAAATATTTGTCAATCTTGCTCTATTAGTATTTCTTGCCTTTACTGTTGAAAATAAATAACATGTATACTGCATACTCGACTTGCGTTTCTTATGCGTGTGAATATGTTTTCTGTGTTTGTTTAGAGGTAGTTATGTTGAATAGGCATGACATGAAGTGCTCATATCGCTCAGTACACTGAGACGTGCGTCTTATCGGTGCACTGACATGGTTACACTTACATGTATCTACACTGCACAGTTATTTGATTCGATCAGTGGCTCCCCACAGTGGCCTTTGTGTTTGTTGTTTGTCAAGTTTAAACATGTTTAAATTGGTGTACACAAAGTTATACGGTCTGCATTTCTCTATGAGAACGCTTGTTTCAGGTAAGACATTTATGATATACGATCTATGACTTGTTTGGCATTGCTATCCGTATATATGTCTCAGCGGGAACAGATTGTTAAGCATCCGTTTCTCTCAGGAGTGTACACTACTTTAATGTGGACCTACTTAAATGTTAGATATATAAATATATACGTGGTGAACAGCTGAAGTGAAAACAGGGCGGGGTAGTTGATCTACGTATAGACACGGGTATCGGAACATATGTACACCCTACATCCTTCAGTGCCGTGAGATCATTCATATAAAGGTCACATGGTGAGATACATCAGCGAAGTCAACAAATAAAAGAGACAAAACCCTTTCCATATTCATAAGAAATCTCTGCTAAACTCAAATCCTTGCGACATTGGGTCAGATACCATTAATGAATATGTTGATTAGTAATAGACAATCTAGGTTTTGAATGTAAACTGTTTTAACATTCCAATACAAGCAGCAAATCTCCGACACACACACGGACTATTCGCCTCGGAGTCTGAGTGAGGTATTCATGTTAAACTGCGGAGTGATATCTCAGTGGGCTAGCACGAAAATATCGGCTTTTGTCCGGACAAGTACCAGCAGTCACACACACACGTGCATGCACGTCCACATCGATAAATAAGTGCAATATTCACTTCACCTCCCCTCAATGCACGCATCACAACATGGCGTCACGTTTTTCCCTAAATACGTGAACACCCTTGAACACACAAACTTTACCTGTTATCAGATCTGGGTTATGAGACCCGCATATCCAGCAAACCTTTTGCACTATACAAATACATCCTCCAACCCTCCCAGTCTACACCGTCAGCCTACTCAGTCTATACAAATACAAACTATAAATAGTACATACCCAACCTGTTATCTCTACAGCTTTCAATATGCAGTCTACACTACATAAAATTTATTGCATTAAGCGACGGTTCAGTGTAGATATCAAACTGGAGAAGGAATGCATGATATGTTGTGACAAGCAGCAGATTAACATAAACAGCAACAGGTAATAGATGGGGTGCTCCGGGTTTCTCAACATTCCTTAAAACAAGATAGACACAATTTTAGGGATAACAACTTCTTTATTACTGTGAAAAGCGACGTTTCGGTATAGATCATATAGTTGCTCGACAACGGTATAAGGATCTATACCGAAACGTCCCTTTTTACAGTATTAAAGAAGTTGTTATCCATACAATTGTGTCTATCTTGTCATCCGTCAACTTCTAAGTAATGCCTATCAAACAATTTCTTAAAACAACAAACCCAGACAGGCGTAGAACAATAGAGGGATTAGTTTGGGTGCACTATTGGCCAGGTAGACAGACAGACAATTGTTTATAAACGTACAACGTACTTCTGTACAACATACTACATACATATATACATAGAACATAGATAAAAGTGCAGAACCCCTCAATATGAGTTATGAGAAACGAGGTCACATAAAAATAAATACAAGTAGAATATATAAGTGGTAAAATATATCACGAAGGTAAGTCTAAGCATAACAGGCATTGGTAGGGGTGCTGGTGGGTGAGTCAAGTTCACCCACGTGCCAGATTGAACCGTGTTCAGCAATTTGCACTTATGCCAGGCTCTTATAATAATGGTTTTTTTTAATTTCCGCAAATGTATTTGGTGAAATGCTCAGAGGTTTGGACTGCAGACTGAGTATAGCCGTAGCGAAAGTGTTAAACTACTGATCAGAAGAGCTGCTGCCTTGCCATTGGTTCCTCTAGCCCACATAGTTGATGTTTGGCTCAACGCACTCAACGCCGCCCCTCTCCATGATGCCAGAGTTCTCCGATTTACTAACTATGTGACTGAAGTTTGGGTGGAGGGCGATCATGGACGAAGCACCTGGAATCACCACGACACCGTCGGCCCAAGAACGACGAACCACGTAGAGGGCTGGCACTTCAAGCTCACCTCCATCATGGGCAGTCCCCACCCCAACATCTACAGAATTATTGACTTTTTAAAGACAGAACAAGCCTACACCGGTGCCCATATGCTGCAGCTTGTAGGTGGGGGTATGCTTAGACCCAGGAGATCTACGTATCGACATCTTGAGACCAGACTTGATGCAAAACAGAGATATACACAGTTGTATATTCACAAGTTCATCTGTCTTGATCCACAGTTTGCCTCCAGATGCTACATATTATACTGTCACACAGCCGGCTCTTTCTGATGGCAAGCACCCCTTGCATCTTGACCGCGAGTTACGCCCTCACGTCGCTTGACGGCGAGCTGTGTCCATACGTCTTGCCACGAGTCCCGTGCCGGTCCACGCTACGAGTCCCTGACACGACACAACCAATTACACACTACTTACAGTGTCTGATACCATTCATGTTACAACCATGAATAGGTTAACATACATAATGGAGCAACTTACATACGGTAGGCTGACATAATGCGTACAGTCAGTATAATCAATAAAAGTATAACACTCACGCCACCAAAGCTAGGGACATCACACAAACCTAACAAAGACACACAGTCCAGACACATGGTCCAACCTGGTCAACGTTTCTTCAGTGACTGCCCAGAATTAAGATTCAAATTGCCAAATTGCATGATGGTTATATGTACAAAGCATGTGTAGCGGCCATCAAATTTTTCGTGAGTTCCGTGATGGGATTTGAACCACGGACCTTCTGATCTGAGGTCGGACGCCTTGTCCACATGACCAAAGAGGTTAAACCCCACCAACAAGCTGACAAGGTAAGGATGTCATCTGGAAGATGACTCCACGCCCTGCTACATATACCCACCAGAAGGCACGTCCCTGGCCGCATAGTAGGCTACTGAGGCTTATTTTGCTTAAATGTAATATGAACGTGCTCAGTCCCACGTTGGGCGCCATATTTGAAGCCGGGGTGGTGTATTTGATCGGGCTCAGGCTGTTGGAGAACACAGCCACAGGCAGATGATAATTATGCTTTTATAAAATGACGGAAATAACCTGAAGAATAGATCATATCCTTCCTCCTCAACAGCAGCACATGAAGTCAGATACATTGAGAATAACAGGTATTAATATTAAATATAGTACAAACCCATTTTGTAACCATAATACAACTAGTAGTCATTTAACATTAAAATTATATAATACTTGAAAAAGCACATGGGATAAAATGGACCATGCGGTTAATTATTTTACAAATTAGTTCTATAATATTGATTTAGTAATTTAATATTACTTTCAATGATATTTTATATGTTATTCAATTTAATTCAGTACCCTAATATGAATATTAATTTCTGACGGAGGCAGATGAAAACAAAATGAACAGTGTCCATTCCATACCTGAAGAAAAGAACAACCCTTATCCACAACAGCAGACATATGAAATGAGGATGAAGTCAGGTATGGAAGGAAGCTACCTGTAGAGAACCAGCGTGGCCAATTAGAAGATAGATTGCATTTAGCATCAAAGGAAGCGCTTAATGCAAGATGTAATTAGACCCTACAGGTGTGAAAAAACGTCGAGGTTGAAGAGATTCCCAGAGATTGAGAATACAAGTGTCAAGTACTTTAAAGAGTTATTTACTGACCACGACAAACAATGAACAAAAAGATGATTATGATGATGATGTATGAATAATGATGTAGATAGCAATGCACCCCCCGTTTGGGAAATGGTGCCCTCACCTTACACAGCTGATAACAGACGACCAGCCAAGGAAAGGAGCAGGATAATGAATGGTTGCCGAAGGTTGAACCTGAGAAAGCAATAAAATGTGCTCAAACCATATATACAAGGGACTAAATAGAGAACTATACCCAAGCCATCTTCTGTTTCACCACCCACTGACCATCAGCCATCCACTTTGGTTTCTGGTATGACCTGCCAGGCCTCGTAACCACTGGTGGGGTGACCGAAAATGAATCTGGGCCAACAGGTGCAGAAGTAGAAGGGTTGAAAGGCACCCGGGAAGTTGAAGATGATGGCGTCGTCGAAGATGGAACACCAGATAATTGAGCTGGTGGTGACCTTGGAAACGAAGGAGTTTCAAAATGCTGACCCAATGGAGAACCCCCAGGCACTGGAGATAAAGAAATTGTCACATCCATGTCGGTTGTAGAAATCTCCAAAGTGGTGTTAGAGGTATCACCAGGTACAGCGGAAGCTCCTAGAGAAGGCTGAGGGCTCCGAGGTTTTGGAATTGGACGGCCATCCAAAGCAATTGGAAGAAGTAAATAGCGGTGCAGTACACGATGCTCCCTGGTGCCTTCCTTGCAGATTTGAAACACGGGAACATTGTAAGTCAGCTGTGACTCTGCCACATAGAAATGTTCCTCCCTTCGGTCGGCAAGCTTTTGTTTCCCAAGAATGTTGACGTTGCGGACTAACACGACATCACCTACCTTGACAGTAGCACCACAGGCTTTATAAGTCTTCCCCTGTTTGGCGCGGGTCGGGTCCAGATTTTGAGAAACTGCATATAAGATAGCGATGAAGTGGTGGCAAGAGACGTGCCAAAGGCAACATCAACAGAAAGTCTAGGATGTCTGCCAAACATGAGGAATAATGGGCATGAACCCAAAAGACAAGGTACAGTTATAGGCATGGACCACATGAGCAATATAGTCCTTCCAACGGGCCTTTTCCTGAGCATCCCAAGAAGTGTTCGGTTAAACTTATCACATAACCCGTTCCCAATGGGGTGATAGGGAGTTGTCCTGCATCCCAAGAATTGCAAGAGCATACTTGGTGAAGTGGTCAGTAACGGCCAGAACATTTGAGTAACTTCCAGATGAAGGTTCCAGACTGAGATAGTCGACACACACCATTTCCATGCTCAGTGAGAGGTCAGTCTGATTAGCGGTTTTCCGAAGAATGCACCTCTGGCAGCTATGAATGTGGTTCTCGACATCTCCCATCATTCCTGGCCAATAAAAAGTCGTCTCAAGAAGACATCATGATGATGAGAAATGAAGGATTCTTGTTGCTGCTGTGGAACAATGAGCTGAAAGTAGGGATGATCACCTGATGTAGTCTGTTTCCTTTAAAGGTGATTGTTAGTGATGGGAAGAGCATCCCACTGCCCGAGGATTGAAGCTGTGTCACGATCCAATGACTTAAGAGACTCCTTTGATTGACGCTGATCTTTGCAGAGAAGGTCCTCAAATCATGCAGTTAGAGGGGTCCACCTGCTGACAAGAAAGCTTATCTGCTGATCAGTCCCAACATTGGTAGACTCGAAATCGTCAACCGCTAAAACACAGTTCAATACCTCGTGTCAAAGTGAGAACGTCTCTACAACACCAGATGACTGCTGACTGTTGCAAACCGCAGACGCATACCTCTTTCCATTCTTTAGCCAGGGTGAACTCAAGATATAGCTCTAATTTTAATAGAGCCTGGGCTGCTGTTCTTTGGATGGCTGCACCAGTGGTGTTATTTCTAGCTCGTTTTTATTCATGTACTGCAATACTGTTTTAGGTATACATCTGTCACTAGGAAGCCATTTTTAGCGTGACGTCGTCCCCTAGGCGATTGACATTGGTCAATCAGAACACTCGAACCAAAAAGGTCTAATCATAAGTGGCTGTTTTCTTCTGCATCAACTCTGAACATTCGTAAGTTAATTTGCATTCATTCTAGCTTATTCCTTCTGGCGTTTATTTGGCCCATTGTATTACCATTTGACTGTAAACTTAAAACCGTGTGTTTAAATAAAAATGTAATGATTAATCAGGAGAACTGTGGGTCATTTACTGATTTCACAACTTTGTACTGTGCAAACCGACTTTATGTTAACATTGTAACAGAACACTTTCGTTGTTCATAATAAAATGTACACTATACCAACCACAATGTCCTCAAACCACCTTTTATCACACACTAAACATAATACAATATACAGAATAAATGTTCACAATAAAATGTACCATACCATCTGTACATTGTTGCAATGTCATTTCAGATATTTGCAAACATGCATATGTCTACGAATCAACCTGAGGCAGGAGATAAACGGAAGGTAGAAATTGTAGAAGGAGGTGACCAAGGGGCTTTCTCCACAAAGCAAAGTCGGCTCAAGAATGGGGATCAATCTGGTAAGTCGTATATTTAAACTGAACCAAAAGTTCTAAGTTTGAACGTGACGATTGTAACATTGTTCCCTTAAAACAGAATAACCGAATGTATGTGCATTCTTAAAGTTGTAGGGGCGGTGGGGTAGCCTAGTGGTTAAAGCGTTCGCTCGTCACGCTGAAGACCCGGGTTCGATTCCCCACATTGGTACAATGTGTGAAGCCCATTTCTGGTGTCCCCCGCTGTGATATTGCTGGAATATTGCTAAAAGCGGCATAAAACCATACTCACTCACTCACTCTTAAAGTTGCTACATTCAAGGCACTCAAGGCCTTAGATAAGCTGTCAAAAATGTATTCTCTTGTTTGTTCCATGTCCTTGTGACGGGCACCACCGGTGTGGCAGGAGACACTCACCTTTTCGCGAACACCTGGTTCATGCATAGGATATAGTCAAAATAGTACAATGGATTGTGAATCGTATTATTTCGTGTGATCTTGGAAAGGATTTTGTCACTTTATTTTGTAAATAATTTGACAGGTAATGTCAACCAGAGATAAGTTCTTTTTTTTGTTTTGACCATGAATGGTACAAGTTCAGAATAATCTCCCTCTGCCACATGCTCTCGTGGGAGCCACCCAGGTCCTACAGCATGGGTCGTTGCTTCTGCTATTGATCAATGGTTTGTCTTGTGCAAAAACGATTGTTTACACATTGCTGTGATGTAGCTAGAATACTGCTGTATAATGTTCACTCTCTCTGTGGGAAAATACTTCTGCAGTAAGATGGATCTGTCCGTGTAAGTCTGTAATTTAAGTCGACTTATAGACATGGTGAAGGCTACAAGGCTAAAACTGTCATCGTTTTGCAAAATAGATATTTGCCATTTCAGTTAAGATCAAGAGTTTTCAAGTTTGATGTTGATAAAATAAACGACTGTGTGATAGGAACGACATTTGGTTACATCTACTTAGAGGAATCGATATATTTTGCTATTATTACTTTCAGGTACCTCAAGTGGCCCAGTGTGAGTATTTCATGCATGTCTTTGCTAATGTGTTTAGTGAAAAAAAATAGTTCAATGTAACATTTAACCAAAGTGCCTTCTTTACAATAATGCATAGCGCTTTTGTACAAACATTATGCATTCATTTTCTGTGACACTTATCTGTTGTATACTGTCAAAGTACGTACGAAGACACCTTATAAATTTTCATTCGAAGTCGTACCGTCATCCATTGGGGATTAAATGAGTAAGTAATAGTAAATGCACGAGTTTTTGAAAGGCATTTAGAAGTGATACACATAAGGAAGAGAATTTATGGATGTCAACTCCTTTATCATTAGGAACACAGCGTTTCGGATCATATGCTCACTCCTTCATCAGGTGAATGAATGCTTACTTACTTACTTACTTTGGAGATTTAACGTGCGCTTTCCGACTGATGCGTATTTCGCACACGGGCCCGGCCAGGCCATTTAATGTGTTTCCGAAAGGGGTGAAGGTGGTCTGTGCAACCCAAGAGGGGGCTTTAGCGGTTGCTTATATATAATTTTTGAATTTTGAGATTTGGAATAGATGCCAATTGGGTTGGGGAGGAGAACTAAGGGAGCTGGGTATGGTGGATGTTTGTTTGTTTATGTGATTTTGATTAGGTAGGTTATTATGTTTTTAGATGCGTTTTATTAGTTCCGTTTTGATTAAGAATACGCCTAAGGCCTTGCAGTTTTCTAGTTTATTTTGTGGGTTTAGTATTGCTTCTAAAGTGAGAGCCCTGTTTAGATTGAGGGTGGTTTGTAATGCGGTTCGATGTGTTAGGTAGTGTGTGCAGAATGAATGCTATGACGCTGAGAGTAATAAGATAACAAAAGTGGGAACTTAACAAGGGAAGTCAACAGATAACTGGCGCTTATAGGTGATTAGCAATAGACAACACTTTATAGTAATTAGCGCTGATGGAAGCCAGGACTTAAATTATCACTGATTAGTAATTGGCAATGGGCAAACGAGAGGCCGGGGTGTAATTGGCACTTAGAGGTAAAACAATAGAAAGGGATATGGGCAAATGGATGCCAGCTAGATAATAAGCACAGACAAAGAAAGACTAAAGCAATAAGTCCCAAGCACGAGGCAGATAGTTTCCCTACTCACAGTTCATGGCTGGGTGGTGTCTCCTGATGCCAATGGCTTCTTGTAGCTTTCTTTGTCGCAAGTTATTGTTGTTGGAGTAATGTTGTGTTCCTAATAATAAAGAAGTTGACATCCATAAATTCTCTTCGTCAGTAAATGCACGGATATATATCATACATATGTGAATGTTTTCATTCTGCAGACAAGATTCCAGTTCAAAGGTAGGCATCGTTACCTCTGGCAGAGTACCCCAATTGCACTATCGACTCTGCTTTATGTAGAGATTTCTATCGGCTATGGAAATGGTTTTGTCGCTTTATTTACACTCTTCAAAAAAAAGAAACGCAAAGGTAGATTTTTAGAAATTTACTGTACCTAATAAAGTCGATATATTTAATAGCACAGATACAAATATGAAATTTTGGAGCTCAATAGTCACATGTTGCCGTTGTACAAAGGCATTGAAAACTGTTCATTGTCATGTCACAAAAGGCCACAAGGTTGCGCTCCCCGGGCAGCAATCACGGATCTGCATCTCCTCGGCATTGACTGGATAAGTTTACGAATTCTGTCCTGCGAATCCCGCGCCATTCTGCTTGTAACGCGTTGGCCAGTTGTGTGAATGTCTGCGAGATCTGGATATCTCAACGGCCAGGGAAAGCCGTTGATGTTGGCATTATGCAGGTAGTCTACCGTGACACGAACTGTGTGCGGTGGAGCCTTGTCCTGGCGGTCTCCTCCCATTAGTAAGACAGCCCAGTTGTGAGACACCTTAAAACAACAATGTCATACCTGGTTGCACATGATAATCAGGTAATTAACCCCTATCATGAAAATGGACTTGTCTTATTATAGACAAAAGAAATGACTCAAGATGCTTGATACCCTCTTTTACATTATTTCATTCAACATTTTAATTCATCCATCCCTTAAATCCATTGTGTTAACATATTCGCCACTTAGAGTTCAGTTAAAGTTAATATCACAGTTCACATCGAGATTGTCACACTGACACAACCTTAATCCATCTTCAGAAGTTTGCCAACAGCATCCACGAACTGGAGTGGTGTCTTGACACCCTGGGATAGCTGATCCTTCAGTCTGGAAAGTCGATTGTCAATCTCCTTGTACACACACTTTCTTGCTGGTGGAGCTGCACCTAGGTCTAAGTGAGATAGCTTGGTCTTCTCAGATTTCTCAATCTTCTTGATGATCTCGATGAACCTGTAGAGATTAGGATGACGATGATTCAGTGATGCAGTGAGGCGACTGCGGAAACCCTCCAGGTTGTTGTTGGGCCTTGGGCCGAATGTCTGGTGATGGTTCCACAGCAAAAGAGGGAATCTGGCTTCATAATCCACCCAGTTTGTGACTATGTAGTCGTTGAATTCGTCAGCATTCGGTACATCGGGAGACTGGTTCATGGAGTCAATCCATGCATCCTGAACCTGTTGAAGAGGCAGCAGAGGCAAGGCAGCAGCTCGTCGGATCCACTGGAAGAAACACCCCGAAACACGCCGACTGAGCTGAAGGAGGGAAATATAGCTGCAGCCTCCGGATCATGTCTCAAGACCTCGTCGTTGTAGAGGGCTGGCATGGGAGTGGTTGGTTCTTCTCTTGCTCTCTTCCTTAAGCTGCCAAGTAACTGGATTCTGCTGGTGTCTTCTGGTGGGTGGTTGTGTACAGTGAAATTTCTAACAAAATTTCCAACTGTTGTACATTTGCCAATGCAGGTCTTAACGGTACATCGCCAATGAGTACCAGTTTGTCTTACTTTGTTCTTGTAGTGGAGATATCCCTGAAAGAGAACCTGGAGAGTACCTCTTTGACTGCTAATGAACTCAACCTGCGGCAAACCTGCCATGATTGTGCATGAATTGTTCACAGACTAGGGGGAATTTATATGTGTAATAAGTAAGTTTTAACAAAACATGCATCTCAACTTTTTGAGTAAGCTCCTACAAGCTCCTAACTCATTTATTTCCTGAGAACATTCAAACAGAATTAATGGCCTACTATTATTAATTCATCCGCTAATCATGGGCTGTGACCATTGTTAAGTGGGTAGACTGGCTGTGTTTGTTTAATTAATCCCACCTACTCCACTGTCTTACAATGGGTGTCTCACTAATGGGATGTAACCGTCCTGGCTACCGAAATTGTCGAATTCACGTAAACAATGTAGGGCAAAACGATCATTTTGACGTCGATAAACACGTTGTCTTCCATCTCGCCGGTGGAGAAGAAATCGTGATTTATCGCTAAGCCACACTCTTCTCCAGTTTCCCGAATTCCAAGGCTATTAGGTATAGCACCAACAGGGACGATAACTGGTCTACTGGGTCGGATTCGAGCCCCGCGAAGATGGTTCCTGACAGTCTTGTCCGATATCCTCCTCAAACCAGTGATGCGTCCTACAGTCTCCGTAGCTGCGATGACGTAGGCGGAACAGTCGAATGTAGCGATCCTGTGCAGGGGTGGTAACTCTTGGTTGGCCGGTACCCGGGCGGCTTGCAGCGGAATTGAACTGTGTATATCGGTTCCAAAGGCGGCAAATGGTGCTGTGGTGGACGTTGATTCTGCGATTCTCCTCTATTTGGATACGTCCTATGGCTATGTCCCGATTGGGAGCGCTTTGTCTCGGCATTTTCGAACTTGACAAATTATGCTTCCTTTTTATAGCCACTACCACGAATTACGAATGCCATATAACTTGCACGTGCATTTTGCTTTACTGTTTTCCTGCATGACATATTTGAACAAGTTTAAAAACAATGCCGTTTAAGACATTGCAAATCGACAATGGCTGCGTTTTGACGCACCGTTTGTCGAACATCGGGCAACCAACATTTTCCAATAACATATATCCAATTTATATACCGGATTTATTGTGTAGTCAGGTTTAGTGAACGACATACTACCAGTGCGTTTCTTTTATTTAAAGAGCATATGCCATTGAATATGCATGTGTATAGCTATTATATATAGATATATATTCCGGTGGAGGCGTAATGGACATATGCAATGATCTTTCGAGATTGCATTCGTGTGTTTTTATAACCATTTGCTGATATTGACAAAGTTTATAACGTTCAACGAACATTTTAAGGACATATACAATATATTGTTAAACCCAAGGAAGGACCTGATTCAACCTTATTTTATTCTTAGATCTTCCAAGACCCTGTTCACGGAACTATAACGGTGACGGGTTTGTGTGTGAAAATAATAGACACCCCGCAGTTTCAGAGGTTGAGGTATTTGAAGCAACTTGGAGGAGGTTACTTTGTATACCCGGGCGCAGCACACAACAGGTTTGAACACAGCATCGGGTAAGTTATATCGCAATGGCGATGTCAAAAATAGTGCCAATAAAACCCTTCCTTGAGCATATTCTGAGGACATGAATAACTTGCCGAACATAGCTTGTTAAAAGTTGTATTTTTTTCTGTAATTCTTAATACGCGTACCGATGTAAACTTTGTTTGTTACAACAGAACCTACTATCTGGCTGGAACATTTGCTCGGATTCTGCAACAGGAATATCCAGATTTGAAGGACGATGAAATCAAGTGCATTGAAATAGCAGGACTGTGCCACGATCTCGGTAATTAGTAGACTTTTTTTCAAAATCACAATACATTTTGATCTCGATACAGGCTATTTCAAAGAGGAAAGAAAGTTAAATAAACATTTCTATAGACAGAAATATACTGACACGACACGAATATGTGCACTAGATGTACGCTTTTGTTCTTTAAGGACACGGCCCATTCTCCCACGTCTTTGACAACTTCTTTATACCTCGTGTGGTGCCAGGCAGCAAGTGGAAGGTATATACACTTTATGTCCATAGGGGATGTCATTTCTGTCACGAGATGAAATGTAACAATTCCTGTACCAAACAGTAAACGTTAACAGCAGGCGTTGTTAAATAATCCTTATAATATTTGTAAAATTATGAAATTCAAAAGATCAGCACGCTTAAGTACAACATGACAAGTAAATGACAGTTTGGGATGTGGTGATACTCGACACCAAAGCATTCATCTTAATATAAGCTTAATTTTTTACACATTCTCATTGTACAATATATGTTTCAGTCATTTGATCAGATTCGCATTGATTGTGATATGTATTGTGTGAGCCACTTTTCGTAGGATATTAATTAAATGAACAAAGTGGCATTAAACTAAACACAATTACTCATATTGTGAGAAGAGTGGAAACATATTTGGGCAATGAAAACATGTTAATAAAGACAATAAAACTGTTAACAATGATAATTAAGTACGACAGTTATGGTTACAGTCTGTATGGGCACACATAACAGACAATGGTTATAGGGGAAAAAATTAAAGAAGTTGATTTCGTTTACTTCAATTGTTTCAGCATGAGGATGCATCAGTAATGATGTTGAAATATTTACGTGGAGAAAATATCGAAGTGAAGAAAGCCTTTGATGAGTTTGATAAAGATGGGACTCGTCTCGAGCTCATTAAGGATCTCATCCAAGGCGGGAAAGGAGAGTTAAGTATTTTTATATTCCATGGCGAGCTCGCACAAACTATGTTTCTTATTTTGTTACACTTTGTAGCTTCCCATGGGACTAGATACCTGTCTGTCAGACAAATGCAAGAATAGTGATATAGTAAGATAGAAAGTAGCTACCCATGGGACTAGATACCTGTCTGTCAGACAAATGCAAGAATAGTGATATAATAAAATAGAAAGCAAACATAAAGCAAACCATAGAGGTGAGTAAAATGGACAGCCTCTGTGGTCCATCGGATAGAGCATCTGCCTGGTGAGTGGAGGGTCGGCCCCGGCCCACGCTATGTCACAAGACGCTAAAAAATGGTATTTGTTGTTACCCTGCCTGGCGCTTAATGTTAAAGTGCGCATGGTATCTCAGTGGGCCACTATACAATCGGCATTAGTCTGGACTATAAGCATCCCACACAAACACGCACAGTTTGTCACCATGTTAGACCAATATCAACGATCCCGACGTCAAATCTCACCTCACCCTAAACATACTGATGTATAGAAGTGTACCATGTGTTTGCCACTTGTGAGCATCTTTTACAATGTTATATGTTACAGGATCATGTGAAAGATGAACGTGTGCTCGAAAAGAGGAAAACAAGGCCTTTTCTTTATGAAGTAAGTATTTCATACAACCGGCAATATTTAGGGAAATATAAGCAGTAATGGTTTGTTGATAATTAAATGAATAAATACTAAAATATGAAGTTACCAGGACATAAGCACATTTTCCGACATTGTTACCATCTTCAGATCTTTATTAAGTACAGTACAGGCCACAGGCCCTTTGTACAAAATGTATGGCATATTTATGGCAACAGTCACAATGATAAAATACGTGTTCTCACTTCTTTACTGTGATACAGATATTTAGCGATATTAATAATCAGCTTTGTGTTCTAGATAAAAGAATGTTAAACTTATGGACATTTGGGTGTAAATAATATTTTGAAGGAATATAGAGATGGCGTAGGTGGGTGTATGCAGGGCACACTAGCAGGAAATGAAACTCGTTTTCTATTAGGCCAACTTGACATAGTTTGCAAAATCTATTTTCGCGAGGGATATTAAGTTTTCTACCAGTTTCTGTTTCCAGCCAGTGTGCGCTGCATCTAAACCTTGACATACATGACCGGTATTTACTCACGGTTACACAATACAAATATTCTTTACACTTCAACGTTAATTTAAAATGAGAAAACAAGGACATTTTGGAGCTATTACATAAACTTCTATGCCATATTTGTTGCAAATTATCTTTAAAACGTTGAAATAACATCGAGGTAAACACCTGTACGTTACCGGGTGATTGTGATAACCAAACATGACCGAATCCGAGTGAAAATAACGTTGTTCTAATATCAGTAACCCAATTCTTCTTTCCTTGACTATCGTATAAATACATCATTTAATAGCACGTTTTAGGTAAGCGGATACCCGGCATACACATTAAACGTAGCCAATATTTAAAAGCTCTCATCATTGATGTGCAAAAAGGAATCACATTCACCCAATACATCTTGTCAAATCTCTCTGTGTTGGAAATCTAAGATATAAACATTAGTGTATAATACATGTTTTTATCACCAGATTGTCAACAACGCTAACACGGGAATTGACGTAGACAAGTGGGACTACTTTGCTCGCGACTGTCACATGATGGGCATGAAAAATAACTTCGACCACGAAAGGTACATGAAGCTGGCGCGTATAATCCTCGTCGAAGAAGAAGATGGCAAAGTGCCCCGGATCTGTGCAAGAGACAAGGTAATCCATCAATCTGCATTGGCTATAGCCTTAGTGTTGAGGGACTCATAACAGGTTACACCTTACACCAGTGTACATCGTCATATTATCGCCGACTACAATAGTTACATCATATTAGAATGGTTAACCTCTCGGCTTTGTGACTATTAACATCATATTAGAATGGTTAACCTCTCGGCTTTGTGACTATTAACATATTCATAAACAAGTCTCCCCTTGGTGCAACTGTCCTCATGAGTGGGCTCACCGCAGCTTTGCAGATTTCGAGACCGTACAAGTGATGGCTACAACACATCTGTCCCCATGAGTGGGCTCACCGCAGCTTTGCAGATTTCGAGACTGTACAAGTGATGGCTACAACACATCTGTCCCCATGAGTGGGCTCACCGCAGCTTTGCAGATTTCGAGACTGTACAAGTGATGGCTACAACACATCTGTCCCCATGAGTGGGCTCACCGCAGCTTTGCAGATTTCGAGACTGTACAAGTGATAGATACAACACATCTGTCCCCATGAGTGGGCTCACCGCAGCTTTGCAGATTTCGAGACTCTACAAGTGATGGCTACAACACATCTGTCCCCATGAGTGGGCTCACCGCAGCTTTGCAGATTTCGAGACTGTACAAGTGATGGATACAACACATCTGTCATGACGCTTTAGAACGGGATATGTACAAGTGATGGATACAACACATCTGTCATGACGCTTTAGAACGGGATATGTACAAGTGATGGATACAACACATCTGTCATGACGCTTTAGAACGGGATATGTACAAGTGATGGATACAAAACATCTGTCATGAAGCTTTAGAACGGGATATGTACAAGTGATGGATACAAAACATCTGTCATGACGCTTTAGAACGGGATATGTACAAGTAATGGATACTAAACATCTGTCATAACGCTTTAGAACGGGATATGTACAAGTGATGGATACAAAACATCTGTCATGACGCTCTAGAATGGGATATGTACAAGTGATGGATACAAAACATCTGTCATGACGCTTTAGAACGGAATATGTACAAGTGATGGATACAAAACATCTGTCATGACGCTTTAGAACTGGATATGTACAAATGATGGATACAAAACATCTGTCATGACGCTTTAGAACGGGACGGGACGCTTAAGCTGTGCAGGAGAACTAACAATGTGACCAGATTCAAGTTCCGTTTGTGTTGACTGCAGGAGGCCGACAACCTGTACGACATGTTTCACACCCGGCTGACGTTACACCGAAGAGCATACCATCACGAAGTTACCCGTGGAGTGGAACTCATGTATGTATAGTCACACATCTTCACATATTGACAAAACATGTGAAAAAACAATGCATGCACTCCAATAACTATCGTTTGTACAAGTAGCTCGTTCCTCATTAAAGGGGCAAACTTTACATTATAAATGGCACCCATACTTTGAACATGTTGCATGTCTATTTTCAGGATTGTTGATGCGCTCGTAAAAGCTAACGCAACTGTGCGGATATTAGGACAGAATCGGTAAATGGAGTTTATTGAATTTTTGTTATTGAATTTGGAGTTTCATATTGATTTTTTTTAAACATGACAATAAGGTGAGGTGAAATGAGTTTAATCTCTGAGTCCAAGATTATTGAATTTATATGGCGACGTGCATGCACGTGTGTGTGTGTGTGTATGTGTGTGTGTGTGGCTGCCTGTTTTAGTCCCGTCAGATGGCGATTTTATAGTGCTAGCCCACCGAGATACCTTGCCGCAGTATAACATGAATACCCAACTCAGACACTGACTGACGAGCCGACCAGTGCTTGTTTATCCCCTTTATGCCGAGCGTAAGACAGGGCAACAACAAGTACCAGAGACGAACCAGTCTCGATCTTCCACCAGAACAGATTCATTCCATTGGGCGTAGGAGGCTGAATAGCGGGGGAAATCATATGGAAGGATCACTGTTAATAAGAAATGTTTGTTGTCTAACGCCACACTCAACAATAGTCCACCTATAGGACGACGGTCTGTAAATAATCGAGTCTGGCCAGGCAATTCAGTGATTGACATCATGATCATCGAACACGCAATTGGGATACGATGACATGCATCAACCAAGTCAGCGAGCCTCTCCACCGGATCCCGTCATTTGACTCTGCATGATTAGTGAATGCGCATGTGCTTACAAACTCTAATTTGGATATAATTCAACTTATAAATTATTAAATATACAACGATACAAATGCTTTGTAATTTTCTAGTTTTGTTTCAGTTACCGAAAAATATCTGAATGTATCGAGGACATGGAGGCCTACTCCAAGCTAAATGACAGCATCCTACAACTGGTGGAGCTTCCCATAACACTGGGGACGAGTCCCCAAGAAACTGACTCTGGTGAATATAATGTTTCAGTGTCGTTACTAGATTAAATGAACGTCAAATCTTTCCTTTGTCACATGTACACACAACACAAAATAATCATGTAGTATCCAATCACAGATTGATAATGTTATATTAATACTCGCCCGTTAGAGGAATTACTACTGCTTAATAACAATAAGACTTATTACATACTGGTTAATACCAAAGCGCGTGCTTTTTACAGTGGGAACTATTTTCCTTAATACTGTAAAATAAAAAAGTTGTTATCCATACAATTGTTTCTACCTTGTCATTCGTCAACTTCTAAGTAATGCCTATCAAACAATTTGGAACTGTTTTCATTGACAAATATTGAAAACACTTAACATCCCTGGGCTTATTCAATGGCATTGCGCGACGAGATTATTCATCACCAAGAGGAGCTTATGCAAACACAATCACCACAGAAACCGTTGCTAGGCCGACGACACGTTTCGGTGGTGTATCTTACAACAATTTATGATGGTGTATTGTGACGTGTTTGTTAATTGTTTGGTGCAGGGCCCTGTTCCACAAAGCGATCTTAGCACGACAGCCGAAGGTCCGTGTTAAAATATGGGAGTTACGATAACCTTAGTGATATGATAGCTTTGTGGAATGGGACACTGAATTCTAAAGTATAATATAATATTAAATAATGTGTCAACCTCTAATTTGTTTAATTTATTTTCTCATGCTCAAATAAAATAAGCTAGATTATTGCTAGATGTCTGCATATATACTCACGACCATACCATTTAAAAAAGTTATAAACGGAAAATTCGCAAGTAATAAGTAAAACACTAGACTCGCTCTCGTATAATACCAGTTGTATGAAACTCGTGAATACTTCTGCTAGTCAAATACGAGAACTATACACTTGTTAAATAAATTGGTATTCGTGGGAACTTGTTAAGTATTATATATTGATTAAAATATTGACATTGACGTATAAACATTTCGTGGCCTCTTGCCATTGCTTTGTGTAATGTAGGATTTCAACACGTGGATGGAAAGTATCATGAATAGGAAGACAAAAAACCAGTTACACACTGATAACTGCATCTGTTTTAGAGAAGGCATCTAAACATTTGCCAGGGGTGAAATATACATAGAATGGTACACTTATATAAAGGTCATGTCACAAAATGATCAAACATGAAATGTACATATGGAGATGGCTGCCCTTAATATTTAACTGTTCAGGAATGAGCTGTAGATTAAGAGTATGGTCTGATCGTCCTTAAGATGCCGTGCCTGAAGCTCAAGTGGAGGCTTCCGTTGAACGTTATGGCCCACATCCGTGTTATAATTGAGCATATCGTGTTATAATTGAGTATATAGTGTTATAATTGAGTATATAGTGTTATAATTGAGTATATTGTGTTATAATTGAGTATATAGTGTTATAATTGAGCATATCGTGTTATTATTGAGTATATAGTGTTATAATTGAGCATATCGTTTTATTATTGAGTATATAGTGTTATAATTGAGTATATAGTGTTATAATTGAGCATATCGTGTTATAATTGAGTATATAGTGTTATAATTGAGCCTATCTTGTTATTATTGAGTATATAGTGTTATAATTGAGCATATCGTGTTATTATTGAGTATATAGTGTTATAATTGAGCATATCGTGTTATTATTGAGTATATAGTGTTATAATTGAGCATATTGTGTTATAATTGAGTATATCGTGTCATGATTGAGTATATAGTGTTATAATTGAGCATATTGTGATATAATTGAGCATATCGTGTTATAGAGATTACTACACGAGTGTCTGTCAGATACCATTTATCTTACAACAAGTTGTTTCAAAACGTATCTAACGAGCGAACGCTATGGATCATTTCCAGGCACACTTGAAGCAAGAGAAATCATCGGAAGAATCTGGAAAAGAGATTTGTATAAGTGTGTTGGCCAATACAATCTGTCTGCTGCGGACCCCTTTACACAAGTATGATGCTAGTTTTGTATCGCGGTTATCTCACAAATTTAATTGATGAGCAAAGGCCATGGTTTTACAGAGTGGTTCACTTCACAGCGAAATATCAAATCATTGTTAACTTATTGCGGACCTCAAATAAGCGAGCATTAGTTTTGTGTGACGAAAATCCAGTGAAGATTTATAACGTTCATTCCCCATTTGTAGCAATTCATTGAAGCACATTTACTTGTTCATGTACTTTGGTGTAATTTGAGTGAACTGGTACAACACAATATTTTACTTTCAGGATGACATTCCAGGTATTAAAGAACAAATTCTTCATGCTGAAAAAGAAACAACCTTTGATGGAGAACAGTTTGACATCATTGTAGGTACAACTTACTTTACCAAGTTCGAAATAGTTGAAATAGTCTGTCTGTTACGGTCATGTCTTTGTTTTTGTTTGTTTTGTTTTTGTATTTTCGCTTCCTGAGTGTATGCCAGTTTTTGTCAAACTGTTTTCCAGTTTTAATTTCTTAAATAAAAAGGAAGCACTTTTTGGTATCTGTGAAGTCTTGATGTTGTCTCCACTTGATTTTTGTTGATATCTGCCGAGATAAGATGGCCAAACATGGTGTTTGTGTATGGTGCAGAAAATAATGATATAATGTTGCGTATTAACTAACATGTTTTTGCTGTCTCTGCCAAGTCTCTCGAATATTGTTAATGTCTGTACTGGTTCTTGTTTCCCTGAAGCTTTCACTTAATAAGTCACTGACATTTGACATACTTTCTGGCATTCGCAGATAGCTTATACATGTTTCTGCCATTTGCTTTAAGTACAAGTATGTTCTTTTGACTTTTTTGTTACGGTTTGGATTATCAAGAATCCAGCATTTTGTATTCAGTCATTCGTTGTTTCTTTGTTTTCATAATCACATCATATGTTTGGGGACAATGGGTAAGTTGAATTGGCAAGAGGAACACGTAATATAAAGTGACCATTCTTGCAGATTTTGGCACATCAAGAAACAGATGCATCCCATATTATATACGGTTCCAAATTGGTTTATTTTGTAGCTGAAGTCTTTCGATTATGGACAGAAAAAAGATGATCCAATAACAAAAGTTTGGTTTTATAACAAATCAAACCCTGAAAAGGCTTTCACCCAGCCAGAAGCACAGGTATGCTAATGTAACCCATGAATCCATCAATGAATAGGAACTGAAATGATAGTGATGAAATGATAGTGAGTGTGTATTACGATAAATGTCTGCAAATTAAATTTTGGGCGTGTAAATCAACCATGTTGGACTTTACATGCACGACACCTTGATGGCAAACTGTTGATTAAAGTGCGCATGGTTGCCTTTGGCATTACCCGCCCACCGCCTGAAGAGCTGCTTGAAGCTGGGAAACGTTGACGGGTGCTGGGTCTCCGCTGCATTACCCGCCCACCGCCTGAAGAGCTACTTGAAGCTGGGAAACGTTGACGGGTGCTTGGTCTCCGCTGCATTCTCCGCCCACCGCCCGAAGAGCTGCTTGAAGCTGGGAAACGTTGACGGGTGCTGGGTCTCCGCTGCATTACCCGCCCACCGCCTGAAGAGCTGCTTGAAGCTGGGAAACGTTGACGGGTGCTTGGTCTCCGCTGCATTCTCCGCCCACCACCTGAAGAGCTGCTTGAAGCTGGGAAACGTTGACGGGTGCTGGGTCTCCGCTGCATTCTCCGCCCACCGCCTGAAGAGCTGCTTGAAGCTGGGAAACGTTGACGGGTGCTTGGTCTCCGCTGCATTCTCCGCCCACCGCCTGAAGAGCTGCTTGAAGCTGGGAAACGTTGACGGGTGCTGGGTCTCCGCTGCATTACCCGCCCACCGCCTGAAGAGCTGCTTGAAGCTGGGAAACGTTGACGGGTGCTTGGTCTCCGCTGCATTCTCCGCCCACCGCCTGAAGAGCTGCTTGAAGCTGGGAAACGTTGACGGGTGATGGGTCTCCGCTGCATTACCCGCCCAGCGCCTGAAGAGCTGCTTGAAGCTGGGAAACGTTGACGGGTGCTTGGTCTCCGCTACATTCTCCGCCCACCGCCGGAAGAGCTGCTTGAAGCTGGGAAACGTTGACGGGTGCTGGGTCTCCGCTGCATTACCCGCCCACCGCCTGAAGAGCTGCTTGGAGCTGGGAAACGTTGACGGGTGCTGGGTCTCCGCTGCATTCTCCGCCCATGAACATCCCACAGATGCTCTATTGGGAATATGGCAAGGGACTTAGCAGGGTAATCCATTGTCCGTATGCTGTATCGTAGAATAAAATCGGTGACGATGTGGTCTGTCATTGTCGCCTTGCAAAATTTGTGTCGATTATTCAAGTGACTTTAACGAGGACGCAACATTTTATCAACATATCAATGGACAGTCACATGTCTTTTCACGGTCATTAAATCAGTTCGCCTGTCAATTGGCATACCGCTCATCACCATAACACTACCAACCCATACCGAACATGATCAAGACGTGTAGCCGTGGCATACCTCTCGCCGCTACTTCGCCAACAACGTTTTATATCATCTTTGAATTGGAGACAAAACCTTGATTCTTCTCTTCAGTTTATCTGCTCATTGGGATACTGTATCGGATCCATTTTAAGGATGCGCTTAGCTCAACTGCATTACCATTTGGCAGTTTCAAGATAGGTGCATGCACTTTTGCTTCTGTGTGTACATGCATCGCGTGCTGTTCATGCATAATGTAAAATTTCATTGTGACTAGATGTTGTGTTCAGATGGAACGCCGCGGTATTGTAAATATAAACCTCAACGATAGCTACATTCAGATCGTTAGAATATATATATATATTATGTATATAATAAAAAAAGTATCCTAAAATGCCATTATTTGTAGCTTTGACCAGACTGGAACACTTAAAGTATGTGCATTTTAGATTCAAGTAAAAAAGAACTACAGAGGGTAAATTGTTTACAAGAATAAAGGATGTGTTTGTTATTTAATACATTTAAGTTCCAAATAAATTCTTAAATGTTCAATCCTGTGTTTTGGGCCTGTCTGTGTTTCCAATTATGATAATTTCTGATGATATGCGATCAGCGATTTAATTATTCAAACAATTATTTATAGTAAACTATCAAATAGGCATACAACCTTGTTGATGGAATATTTATATTTATTTTTGAGAAATCATGGATGCTTCCAAAAAGATTTCAAGAGCGTGAAATTGCTATCTATTCCAAAAAGAAGGAGTTCGAGGAAGATATTGCCAAACGTTTCAGGCTCTGGTCTAATGCACGAAAAGAAAAGGTAAATTTGGCTGAACATTCTATATTATTCATATGTTTACATATTTAGAACCAATGTGCTATATCCATGGATACTGTGAACATGTCTTATATTTTAAGTTTTTGCTATGTAATATAGAATGGTGAATATGTCCACTTTAACTATGTAATCTTTTGTTTGAGCAGTTCCCGGAGATTAAGGAACAGATGACACAGATGCCAGAAGCCTCGAACCAGTGAAATGGGAATGCCCTCACAATACAGAAGCCGTGTGACGGTGATAACCGAAGGCCTTCAAAGGCTTAGTGCTATTTAATGTGTAACATTCAATCTTCATTTCTTATCATACTAGATTTTATTCATGGCTGGTGCCTTAATGGTGATAGATATGTAATAGTTGGTTGACATCTGCATGCTGATTAACTCTCTGCCACTGACCACATTCCACTGAAGGAAACGGATCTGTTTCATTGTGTGTTTGAACTCAAACATGTTCTTTACATCCTTCGTTTTGTGCCCTATTTTGGATTCACATCTTTCTTGGTAAATACATGTACATTTATTAAGAAACATTATTTCCTTTCTTACTTACGCTTTTTTTATCAACGTTCCAAGTAACATATTAAATGAAGCAGATAGTTTCATGTAATTGAAACTTTAATTAAGAAATAAGCGACTCGTGGGGGTTGTTTATCGTACAATAAAATACTGGGGGCGGAGAATAAACCATGGGGGGCTTCGCCTCATGGTTTATTCTCCCCCCAGTGTTTTATTGTACGTTAAACAACTCCCACGGGTCGCTTATTTCTTATATGAAATATCAACATCATGTACAGCATATTTAAGGATGACGATAAAATGTACAAACTTAAAAAAATATTTACCTGTATTTCAATAGTGATGGCGTGGTCCAACATAAGACGTCATCAATTTGCGAGCACATGTTGGTATCTCCAGAAATGATGTCATGGTAGAAGAATGTTTCATCGTAAAATTAAATACACTTCGTTCTTTATTGTTCTTTGCGATTTATCGCTTTGCTACATGTATGCTATATTCTGCTATAAATGTATATTCGATCTTTCTAAAAGAAACGATAAAATGAAAATAGTTCTGCCACTTTAATTATTTGATGATACACACAAACACACATATGCTTTCGTTACTTCATATCTCGTATATCCAGTCAAACCACAACTTTATATTATTTGTTCTCCCATGTTGATGCTCTGATGAGTCCTTTGTAACATTCTGATTATATTACCAAGCTGCTTTATAAACATATACTGTCTGCTATAGCTAAGGAAAAAAGCAATACAAACAACTACCTTATACGAGAACTCAAAGTATTTGACTACAATGCGCTGTGGTTTCACAGCAGCATATGCATTTAGACACAGCACAAATATATGCAGTGACCTGGCAATCCCATACATGCACACGAGTATTTTGTCAATGTACCTTTCAATATAATATGTTTAATGTCGGATGATCAATGTTGTATGTTTAATGCAGAAGTGCATGCCTTAAATGTAAACACCAGGTCCATTAAAGAAATACAGCAAGTTGACATTTATACATCAGAGACTAAAGCTCTGTCAGGATATAGGACACTGCAATAAAGTGACACAGCCCTTTCCATACCCAACACAAATCGCTGCCTGAAGCAGAGTCGATTGTACGATTCCGACTATACCACGAGCATGTGTTTATGAATCACTATCAAATAGTAAAGATACAAGGGGCTCGCGAAAAGGTGAGCGTATCCTGCCCCACCGGTGGCACTATCACAAACACACGCAAAGGCCAGTAAATTGTTCACCTGAAACAAACAGGGGAACACATGGCACAAGTCAAAATAGGGAATTACATTGGACATAATTTGTGTCACTGATGTGTCACTTTTGGAAATGTCCTCCACATGTCTACCATAACACTTCTTGAAAGCTTTACTGAGGCCTTGAATGTTGTAACCTTGATCGAACAACTTCTGAGAAAGAGTCGTATAACGCTATTTGAAATCTTGGTAGAAGGAGCATGCTCGATTGTATCTCAAAAGTTGTGAAATGTAAACACCAAAGGTTTGAGCTCCTTGAATATTGAAGGGAAAGTTAACTATTGGAAAGCTGAAGTCATCCCTCTTGTCAATCAGTTTTGTGGAGAGTGTTTTGTGAACCAAAAACTTGCACTCGCGAAATCATAGCAAACCAGGAAAAACTGCAGGTCTTGGTGAATTAGTTAAAATTAATTTACTCATCACCATTATATATTGTTATTGTTTCTTTGTAATATATTTGCAACATGCGACCTCTAGTAAAATTGATATCGAAAGGGATATATCTAGATAGGTTGTTGGCTCATTTATACAATGTGTGAAGCCCATGTCTGGACGTATTGCTAAACAAATGAGAATGAAAGCGCAATTGATAGGTAAAATACGTTTGCTACAATTGTTTTTAATTTAGTGATTTTCAAATTAAGTAAAAGACACAAAACCCTTTCCATATTCATTAGAAATCTCGATTGTACGATTCCGACTATATCATGTGCATATGCATGTGTTTATGAATCAGCATCAAATAAAGATGATACCAGGTGTTCCCGAAAAGTTGAGCGTATCCTGTCTCACAGGTAGCACCCGTCACAAACACATCCAGAGGCAAGTCAATTATGCACATGATAAAAACACACGGGAACATATGGTTGAGGCCTAAAGACTAAGATTAAGAATTAATCTCATTAATATCATGGTTTTTTTCTGTTTGTTGTTTTGCTTATCTTTGTGTTACCCTAGCTGTTTCATCCTGTCCTTTCTATTTGTTGATTGCGTGATACACGCTCTTGTATCTACACTTTGCCAAGATATAATAAAACAATTTGAAATCGATATCAACACTGTCGTCATTAATGCTTCATGTTATAAATGCTACTTGAAGATACTGACAGAGAGATTTCGAGGGAAGATAATTTGTTTGATGATGGACTATCTGACCAAGGCAATCGAGACTGGCTATTCTCTGGCTTGGATGTTTTGTATATATGCCCCATTCGAGCTACATATAAGTGAAGGAATCCACTTGATGTGAACATTATTCCAAAGATCACCGATGCGTTCTGTTTAAATTAGAGCATGTTCGTATATTCTTGCGTAGATTACAATCTCTGTTGTAACAATGAACAGCTGTCATCAAGGTGTTTCCACTGGGTTCATTGGGAGTAACCAAATTGTCAAGGCGTTTTGTCTTCACGACCCGGATTTGACCATCACATGTGAGGCCCATTTGGAGTCCCCCGCCGTGATCTTGATGGAATGCTGCTAAAGGTGGCCTTATACAATCACTGGTGTTACGAGTTGATCCAATAAACAGTTTCAATTCACAACAAGGAGGGATCACACAACAATTTAAAAGCAATTTAATTCCGGCAGTCTCATGTGCACTTAGGTTTGTTTTTCTCGTTTACAAAAATTGATTCTTAATATCCCATTTTGTACAGTAAATCGTTTGTTGGTATAATTCTATGAATAATACTGTATTGGAACCATTTTTGTTTTGAGGACACATTATATCTGTGGGGACTACGATTAATCGTTTGCCAATCTTTTTCCGTCATGTTAAGGCCAAGATCTAGTTCTTTGAATGTATTTTGGAATATGATATTGTTGGATACTCTATTTAAGATATCATAAAATACCCTATAACCCCCCCCACACACACACACACACACACACACACACTCACACACCCCTCTCCACTAAGTTTTCAAGGAAATATGGTATTAAGGGCAGATGCAACTTAGATGTTGGGGCTATACTCTTATGTCAAGGATATCTTGCGATCTTCTGATTTGGTTTACCGACCATCTGACAAGTGTGACATGTTCGAAATGTTCTACAGATTTTTTCTAAAATCAGTCGGAACTCCTGGCCAATAGAAATGAGGTCTGACAGGATGTGTATATACATTTTCTATGTCTTCCTGCATATCGCATGGTACGTATCTCACTTGCTTTAGGAAGATCAGATACAATATCTTCTCAAATATCATTGCCCGTGATAAGCGATACACTTGGCACTGGTAAAGTTGACATGATTCCCGTTCTATACATCCTATCACCAAATCTGACTTTAAATGGACTACATGAAGAGGTACCTTAATGTAACAACCTATTCCTCGCATGAGTACGCTGGTTCCAGTGTAAGTTTTCTCAGAAAATGGTAGATCATCTTCTAGCATAAGAGTCTGGAGGGCTCCAGTATCTCTGAGGATATCTATAGGTCTTGAGACAGAGCTATCTTCCACTAAGGATACCATTCCTCTAGACATAAGAGGTGAATAACCCTTTTCGGTATTAAAAATTATTTACTTGCACATCTTCAGCCAGGCATTTGCTGTGATATCACCGAAGCCAGAGCATGTGGCTCCTGCTCATTCTGATCTTAGTTTTTCACTTTCCAACATGCACTTATCAAATTCCCTTTTTCTTACAATATGAACAAACTGGTCCTGAAATCATCATTCCTGCCGACATGGATACATTGTACCCCTGAGGAAAATTACTTGCCACACCTGACACCTGGTTATTGTCAGGGCCTCAAAATGATGACTGAGAAAATCCACGACCTGTAAAGTTACGACCTCTTTCATTTGACCATGAAGAATTACTCCCTGTAGCATTTGACTGACTGAAAGAACTAAACCTTGAGCTTTCTGCAATACCGAGGCGTTCATTTATGAACGATAACGAAATATGACAGTATCAAAGGTTAAATCTTTGTATCACCATTGTTTTAGAGTTAAAATCAACAAGGTCAATTTAACATCTCAGAAATGGGTTTCACACATTGTACCCATATTTGGAATCGAACCCGGTTCTTCCGCGTGACGAGCTACCCCATCCGCCCCAGACGGAAAATAGGGTTCTGAGATTAGAGGAATACCCTGGCTAAAGCCAACTGCGTTTCTCATGTTCCAGCCGTCCCACTGCGTTTTTCGTTGAGCTACAGGTAGTCGTGGAACAGTTTCTAATAGACAACGCTTTGGCAACAAAGACCCCCATCCCCTACCACAACACACACATGATTATTTGGGTACCAGATGGCATCGTAATCATGCTTAATATAGGGTAGATACATATGTGCTTATGTATTTGGTACATGCATAAACTCTTCTATGCATTTCTGTTTTTGAAGAATATATATTTGAAAAATTGTCAAAGCGAGTGATAGAATTGGGTTTAGAACAGCTTGGAATGGTTTTTAGTTATATTACGGCATGTCAGATTAATGTTGGAGGAATACCTAAAGCGATACAGATCTTTCAAGAATACCACTTTGGTGGAAACAACGAGCATCGGTTTAGTGTTGAAAAGCCAAGAGTGAGGTGAAATTGAGTTTAACGTCGCGTCCAAGATTATTGCACTTATATAGCGACGTGCATGCACGTGTATGTGTGTGTGTGGCTGCTTGTACTAGTCCGGACTGATGCCGATTTATAGTGCTAGCTCACTGAGATACCATGCCGCAGTTTAACATGAATACCCCACTCAGACACAGTATACTGACTCCGAGCCGACCAGTCCTTGTTTTAGCCCCTTAATGCCGAGCGCCAGACAGGGTAACAACAAGTACAATCTTTTAACGTCTTTTTGTATGACGCGGCCCGGGATCGAACCCTGGACCTTCCGCTCTCCGGGCGGACGCTCTACCACAAGACCACGGAGGCGGTCTGAAAAGCCAAGAGTCATCATCAGAGTGTCTGTGAGATTCAGACCCACGATCATCGTGAGTGAGAGAGTGAGTGAGCAAGTGAGTGAGTATGGTTTTACGCCGCTTTTAGCAATATTCCAACAATGTCACGGCGGGTAACACCAGAAATGGGCTTCACACATTGTACCCATGTGGGGAATCGAACACGGGTCTTCGGCGTGACGAGCGTGACGCTTTAACTAATAGGCTACAACACCGCCCTGTAGATATTGTGAGAATATTGTGAAAGTGGTTGAGGATGCATGTTTGCAGGTATGAGTATGGATATACGGGATGACCATCGGACTTGGTTGGCGCCACCGCCCCTCCACGATCATAGAATTCCGGCACGACTATGACGACATAATAATAATGATTATGTAATGAATTTAATGAGACTGTCCAACACATTGTCAGTGGATGCCCCTTTTGGCACAAAAACAGTACCTTTAGCAACACGAGGGAATGGCTCTATAATTTTATTACCGTCTTCGCCATGCTTGTGATTTTGACCTTTTTGATCAATCCAATGAAATCATTTATATCTTTGAATTTTCTGTCCCTTTTGACACCAATGTGATTGACAAGATTGAGAAAAAACATGACAAATATGCAGATCTCACTTTCGAAATGTCACGCTTGTATCCCAAGTGCCAAGTTGTCCGACTCCCGATTGTTCTCGGTGCCTTAGGTTTGGTCCCTAGGCAGAGCTTCCTGGGAAAAGTCCCATTTGCTGTCTTGGCTGCGTGTAGAGGGGAAGGGCCATGTGCTGCTGATGATGATGATAATAATGATGATAATAATAATAATAAAAATAATAATAATAATAAAAATAATAATAATAATATAGTTTATTACAGTGTCATGTGTTAGAAAGTAATACAACACTGAGCACATACTTAAAATATAAACACAAGGTCTCAGAGGGCCGAAATGACACCTTAAGATATTACAAATATTAAAATACAATTAGATATACACATATTCACTAACAGAATCACATAATGCATGCATTCATGCATGCATACACACATACATATATGTA